TATAATAGAGATATGAGTAATAGATCCGATAATAACCGGTATATTTATTAATGTGAGTTTCCGGTGATTCGTCACTCGGTTTACTTTTGTTTCGCCGATTGAGTGCCACATAATGGCCGCTATCGTCGCCGGAATGGTCGTCGTTCTCACCGGTATTGAGTTCGCCGTCCAAATCGCATGACTTAAACCCCGGTTGACTGTTATATGCAATCAGTTTTACTCTAATTGTGTCTTAAATATAGCGTTCAATTAATAACAAACCGTTTCAGATGAATGTCTTCCGTATGAGAATCTAAATTGATTTTCAAGTAAAAATATTTCATTAAAATTCACATCAAAAGCGAGTAATTGTAATCATATTTACCTAAAAGTCTTCATCGCATGAAAATTATAAAATAAAAATGAGATATTATTGACAATTAATTAATCCATTATAAGATTGTTATCAATTATAAAACTGACTTTGAATTAGCGAAGTGTTGTCCACAATGAGGCCAAAGACATGTGACGGTTCCCGACTCGAAGTGACAATCAGTCCAAACACACCGATGCGGACCATCGCTGTTGTGATGTTGTTTGATGTGATAGTGAAGTTCATACTTGTGGACAAACACTTGGCCGCAGCCGTCGGCGCAGCACTTGAACCGCTCTTTTCTCAGATGATAGCTCTCAATGTGCGACAGCAATGACTTCTTGTAACCGAAACTCTTATCACATTCTGTTTGATCCAAAGAAAAGAAAATAGAGTTAAAATAATTGTATAAATTAATTAAATCATGGGTTAAAATACTGGGCCAATAGCACTGGTGGTCGCGATCGTTAGTGTGTCGGATCAGATGCGCTTCGATGTTGGCCCGCGAATGGGATTCAACGCCACAGCCATCGACAGGACAGCGGAAGTGTTTCAACTTTTTGCCACACTTTTTGTCCCTTTTATAAAACACAGTAATCTTTTGCTCCAATTCTTCCAGCGATAGGTTATTGACAAGACTGTGGTCTTCGTTGTGGTGACCATCGCTGCGGCCATCGCTCAGATCGTCGCCTCCATCGCCGACATCATCGCAATGGCTGTCCATTTGATCCGACACTTCGGACTCGTTGTCGGCGATGTCTTCGGTGCCATGATTTCGCTTATACGCCGAGCGATTAGTTTGTAGTCTTTCGGTGAGTCGGGCCAACAGGTCTTCGTATTCCGTGAGCTGATAGTCGGCATCGGATCCGATGTTAAACTGTTTGCAAAATTGTCTGCATTTGTCGGAAATGGTTTGCAATGAACTCAAGACACCATTCAATGACTGGTGATTGGCCTTCAATTGGGCGCACAATTGGTTGCCATTAGTTTTGCCACTTTTGGCACCACTTCTCGGACTCCTTCTCATCGCTTCAAAACACTTTCAAAACCAATTAATTAAACCATTAATTAATTAATTAAATAAATAAATAATAAAAACTCAGAAATTTGTGAATCAAAACAAATGCATAGAAAAAACAGTGAAAAACATTTTGTGACAAATATTGGCCGA